GGGACCACGCTGATCCCAGCGCTCAGGGGACCAGGGGCTGCCACAGGCACCTCGGGGCCCCGGCGGCTGGAAGACCGCAGGCCTCCAGAAAGCCTCGGGGACCTGCCGCCAGGTCACGGACGGCATCCCGGCCTGGAGCCCCTGAGCCGGAGCCGCTCGGCAGAGCTCGGCCTGGACCCGGGACCGTGTCCCTGACCCCGTCCCTGACACGGCCTTGCAGGGCCCCCTGGCTGGGGCCGTGGGGGTCACGGGGGCTCCACGGCTAAGCGGCAGTGAGTGCGGACGCCCTCGACCTCGCAGAGGGAGAACCACCCGAGACGAGGTCGGACGGGAGGGTGGAAGGACACGGCCCCCCCGAGGCGGCCCTGCGCCGCGGGCTGGGACCCTTAATTGCATTTCTTCAAGTCCTTGACCCCAAAGCGTCGCCCCGTGACAACGCGCGCCTTCCCCACAAGAGGGTTTGGGGAGATTAAGTTTCTTGGGACTCTCGTCCCTGTTATGTGGGCCCAGGGAGGAGGGCAGAGAAGGGCAGCCGCCCAAACACCTGCGATCTCTCAATACAGTAAAATACGGCCTGTGACTGGAGTCATTCCTCCTCCCGTTTCCAGAGGGAGCTCAGGGCGGAAGCATCAAGGTTACCCCCTCTCAACGCGTAAACGAGGTGCTCGCATAACCTGCCCCGGACACCACCGCCTGGACCCGGAGGGGGCCCCTTTGCAAATAGGAAAGGCGATCTGATTTTTTTTTTTTTTTTCATTTTAGTGCTTGTGTGACCCTGAGTTGGGGGCTTGAGCCGTGTAATACACCACTTTGGCCCTCTGGAGACTACACTAGAACTGAGCAAAGGGAAATCAGGCGAGAAAAGGGGAAGGCGCCCAGAAGTGGCGGACCGAAGGGGAGTCCGCGCGTGGTGCGCAGGCCGCTCTGACCCGCGGCGCGACCCTGCAAATCTCAGGACGCTCTGCCCCGGGCTCTGGGCTGACCCGCAAAACACCGCCACGTGCTCAGGGGCTGCTGGGCTCAGGCTCTGCGGCTCGGGGCCACACACACACACTCACACACACACACTCACACACACACTCACACACACACACACTCACTCGCACACACTNACACACACACTCACACACACACGCACGCACGCACGCACACACACCAGCGCCTGCCTCTGTCCTAGCGCTGGGGTTCCTCTGAGGCTGTCCCTTCAGCGGAACCCCGCGAGTTGCCGCCGAGCTCGGCCACTTGACCGTTCCGCTCACCCCGGCCGAGGGGGAGCTCTGGCCGGGGGGGAGGGCAGCCGGAGGCACCAGTCCCGTGGGCACCCGGCCCCGCGCGAGGGAAGGGCTGCTGGGATGACCGAGCCCCGGGAAGGGCGGCGCTCG